TCTCTCTCTCTCTCTCTCTCTCTCTCTCTCTCTCTCTCTCTCTCTCTCTCTCTCTTTCTCTCATTCTTTATTTATTTTGGTACCAGAGATCTATCCCAGTTTTTCCCATATGTAAAACAGATATTCTACCACTGAGCTGAATCCCCAGCCCCCATAATATCTCATCTTGAACAGCACAAAACCCAAATTAAAAAATGTGCAAGGCACAGCAATCATGGTCATTGCCTATTCCTGAGAGTCCTACTCAGGTGAACACACATATTTGTTCTATAAACACATGGTAAATTGGTCCTTTCTGTTGAAAACTGATCAAAGATCTCATCACCATAGATCCTACAACACCATGACTTCCCCACCCATATCATGAACTGAGCGCACTTTCCTGGGCCCTCCTTATACCAGTATGTACTGTAAGCATTGCTCAGAATGCAGGTAATATTTACCCTTTGTCTTACAAAAGCAGGTTCAGAGGGCACCTGAGTCAGCACAGTGTCAGAGTGGAACCCTGGAAACAGGAGCCTCATTAAGGCTCTAGATGTGAGACAAGTAAGAATTGTTACTAGAGGGGAAAGAACAGGGTTTGGTATCTGGGAGGCTGTTCTCTGTGGAGGTTAGGACAGCGAGGAGGTCAAAGAGCAACCAGGCCATGATGGAGCCTCTCTGAGCTCTGTCATTCAGATCCCTATGCAGAGGCTAGACTCCTAATTCTCTCACATCCTCCAAACAAGGCAGGTTGGAACTTTTAAGGCAGTTGAGCTTCTCAGAGCAAATGGTGAGAAGTTTGATTCCAATGTTAAACCTTGTTTTATTTCTAAGCGTTTCCTCCTGTTTTCTGGCTCTGTGATACCTAGGATTCAAAGATTATAAGTATGCAACATCATATATCTCTTCCGCTGTTCATTCCTCCATTGCCTCATGTATTCATTTGATGACTGGAGCCAACTTGGGGGCCTCCTGGGCCTTTGTCTCTGAACCTCCTTCTGGATCAGCAGTTGTTCCCAAAAAGTAATTGGTGGCCACTGTTGGGCTCATTTGCGTGTGTGTGTGTGTGTGTGTGTGTGTTTGCATGTGCATGCATACACATTTGTGTTTTCTTTTCATTGTATGAAAACACATGTGCTTCCTTTCTCTGAGGACACAGAGTCTGGATCTGCTAATGTAGAATGTATGAAGTGAGGCATTGCATAATTTTTATCTGTCTTAACAGTTGTGCATCTTGGAGGGCTGTGCCTATTGAGAATCATTGCTTCAGAAATGGCAATTGAATTCCACATATTCTTTGTATAATTGTCTTCCTATTTGAGTTTTTAGATCTAGTAAGTTTTGTCCCTTCATGGTGCTTTCCATAGACTGTATAGATATGAACTGTGATAGAGGTCTTTTAGTATTAAGTTTGTAGATGTATAGATTATTATTTTTTCATTAAATTTGGAAATATTTTCTTGATAATTTTTCCAAAAAATTGTACTTTTGCCCATACATATCTTTCTAGAACTTTTGTAATGTGTATTTTTGTTTGCTTGAAGGTGAAACATAGATCCTGTAGGCTTAGCGCATGTTTTTGTTATTTATTTTTTGCTTCCTTGGACAATATAATTTGATATGAACTTT